GGGGGAAAAGTCCGGACTTTAATTTTTCTTCGACACATCGAGAAAATCGACTAATCGAAGTTCGACTCATAGAAGTTCTACTGTATATCGTTTGGTGCTAACTCGGTGAAATATATTCCGCTTTTACACTGCAATAAACATATATCCTATATATATTAATATAATTCTGCAAAAAGAAAATGGAATCAATAAAATAAAATAGATAAATACAATGAAAAATATAGACAAAGATGATTAATGAAATGAAATTTAATCAAAAGGTACATCCGCTGAATAAATTATTTCCAATGAAAACTAGTGACTGTTACCAATATTGATCCAAGATTAAATGTTTTTTTACTGGAAATAATTCATTCAGCGGATGTACCTTTTGATTAAATGAGAGTAAATTTTATTTATTTATTTTATTTTATTGATTCCATTTTTTTTGCTAGTGGGAATGTTCGTTACCACTGCCGCATTGGAGCCTCTGTGAAAAAAACTGCATTGATATATACAATGTGCGAAAAAAACTCAACCGCTGTAAAGCAGTCGAGTATTTTTCCTATATGAATCGATGAAAAAACTGTACTGCTATAACAGCAATACAGTTTTCAAATGCTCATTGAAGTGTACTGAGTTTAATGGGTTAGTAAGAACAAAGTAAAAGTTTCAAACTATGCGATAACTTCATAAATTGATAGCATCTGTGTAACTATTATGATTATCCAAAGGAAAGCGACGTTACAAACATGCAGTATTTTAAAGTTTGTTTCCTGCATATCAGACAGTATAATCTACCGTTTACACAGATGCTAAAAAACCTGTCTAACACCCCCATGTAAAAGAAGTCGCGCACTTTAAATAACGTAATTGCCGTGTTTAGCGTCAACTCGGCAGAGCCTCATTACCGCAGTAAACAGTTACATTGTAACCTCGAGCTAGACATTGGCAGCCAGTGTAAGATTCTTATATAATCATATTGTTTAAAAAAACTAAAAGAAAGCTTTTCTCTGATGTCAACGTAAGAAAAGGGTTGTACTAAATTGAAAAATGCGTTATGTCAAGTTAAACCCTCACAATAGACATTAATGGTATCGGGACCACCGCACTGCGTTGCAATCGAATCCTCTCCCGTTTGCGTTGTAACATGTTGTTTGCACAAGTCATCACGATACTTTGACAAGTTAGCATGTTGTCTGCACAAGTCATCATAATAATTTGACAAGTTTACATGCTGTTTGTACAAGTCAGCATGTTCCTTTGACAAGACATGATGTAAATTGCACATGTTAACATGCTCAAACGACAAAATAATATCATCGTTTCACAAGACAATAAAAACATTGATTACATAAGACAGTCACGGCGTTCCATATCACTCATTGGTCCAAACGGAAATTTTAATATAAGTTCTATTAAGGCTTCATTTTCGATCGCATTTTATTACCTGTCATAAGCATCTACAAATTCCGAAAAAGGTGTTTCAAATACATAGGAGTGAATTACCATGAGCTATTGTAGCTCTCAGTCCAATTCCTTTCTGTTTAAATTGTAAATTATTAACATGTATAAATAACCATGAATAAAAATATGTTTAAACCAAATACATTGAAACACGTGATCGCCAGTGTTGCCTAAGCGTACTTATAAACTTGTTCCCGTGAGTAAAAAACTAATGGGGTGGTTACTTTTCATATGCAGAAATTGGATGGCTTCCTTTGTTACTTATAACAGTTTGCGACAATTTCGTTATTACTTATGTCTTTTACGCGCCTATTTTATTGTCTTAATAATCGGTGAGGACAGATGAGCTTTATTATTTAAATCTTAAATCGGTTTTTGAAATAAAGTATTATTCCTCTTTTAATACATGATTAGAAAAACTGGGCATGTATTCTGAACATTAAACTTTTAAAATTGTATTAAAAATGGTTAAGTTACGTTGATTTTTGCAAGTAAGGTATGCGTTTAGTTCACTCATTTTATGTTCAGCGCCGTCGAACTTTGCCGTTGATTTTGCCGTATTGCATTTCTATATCGACGATAAGAACACGTCTACGGAACGTTTTTTTCTGGAAATTAATTAGATATGCGCACTATAGTATCATTCTTCTTCATTAAAAAATTTAAATTTTCAAAATCGAGTTACAAATGATAAAACTGTAAATCATTTTGTAAAGTATGTGTTCGTTTTGCAAAGGTATGTTACGCTTTGCACCGATAAATTTGATATACAATACAATACAAATACTTTATTTCGCTTTAAGACCTCCGGCCTTTGCAAAAACATATATACAGAGAAATGTACACAAAATTATAGCATGTGCACAATATTTAAACATATACTATATAAATTTAACTGAAAATGACTGTAAATTTCTTGGAGTTTCTTATTTATCATTGTGTATCGAAGATATATTAATTGTTTAACTTCCTTTTTCCAAAAGCGTAATACAAAAATGTAGCTGTATCCTTTATAAGATCGTCATTTTTTTAGACATTAATATATTAAATTTGTTTCGGGTTGGTGAATTTAGGTACTTAATCGGTAGATATAATTTTCTTAGTTTTGAATAAAAATCACAACGTAGTAAAAATGAAATTTATCTTTTATTACATTCTAAGAACATTTTGTGAATAATCTGTTTTCCCTCAATATCTTTTTATGTTTTTCCCTCAATATCTTTTTATGTCTACCAACCTCAATTTCAAGATCATGTGACACTATTCTAAAATTTGAGTATATATATCTAAATTTTCTAATGTCTAGAAAATCTAAGTAACAGTCATAAGAGAAAATTTCCTTAAACATACCATAAAATGACAATTTTACATTAGAAGTTAGAGATGAATGCCACTCTTGTTGGTATATATCTTTTAACCTATTTTCAAATTGTGCTATCAAGTATTTTTCTGATGTAACTGATTGACTTTCCCAGACATATCCAAAACCATGACTTTGTAAAAAAAATTCTTAAAGATGTAACCCAATTGTCATGTCCCTGTATATCATCATTAAACATTAAATAACACCTTTTTAACTAATCTATCGTTTGGCATTTTGATAATTTTTAAGCAATAGTTAATACACCTCTTAATGGATATTATATACATGGGGTACCTCCCGCAGTCGCCTAATACAGCTACATTGGATGCATTTTGTTTACAAATCATAAAGCGTTTGCATGCATAATATTGTACTCGTTCTAGCTCTTCAAATTTACCCATGCCCCAAATTTCAGCCCCATATAGTAACTGAGGACATATTTTAGAATCAAACAGTTTAAAAAATACTTTCTTATTTAATTGGCCACAATCATGCAGAATTTTAAATAAGCGGGAGCGCAGGGCCAAGTTTAATTAATAAAACTTCGCCCCTGTGCCACGCCTATTAGCATGTTTTCGCACCGCTAGCTTGGCGGGGGAGCGGGGCGAAAACACGCTAATTAGCGGAAGCGGGAAAAGTTATTTCTACTGAGCTTCGTCCCCGCTTAATATCGTGTTTTCGCTCCGCGGCCACGCATTTTAACTTGTTAATTATCGACTTTTCGCTTGGCGGGGTCACGGGACGAAGACGCGAATGGCAAAAATTCACCACCATACATAATCAAACCGAGTGTGCAATTCATGTAATTTTGTTGTGATTAATGCTTCCGAAGGATCACACTTTACCAGATTTTCATATCAGAATTGAAACGGTGACACATTTTTGAACATGAAGTATAATTATAATCACAACATTCAATGGCTTGATCAATATTTTTTTATTTTATTGTTAAGGGCATTCTTTTGGGATTTGATTTTCTCTATTTTAAGGAGAAGTAATTTGAGTTTAGCAACACTTTGATCTAGCAAAATATCAAGTCTCCAACACATCAAGTACCGAATACGTATTGCGGTACCATGAGTCTTTAGCCGACACCGCACATTTAAAGAGTATATTGTCGCTTATACTTGAATACCATGCAAACAATTATATGCTCTGCTTTGAAGACATTAAGGATTTGCTTAGTAAAGAGGCTAGCCAAATATACATTATTTATTGTAGTAAAAATATAATACATATAATCTGTTATAAAGAATAGTTCTTGGCCCCTTTTAAATAAGAAAAATATATATGATAATATATTAAATGAAATTTAATTTTATAGTCTATATGATTGGACGTTTTATTTTCCTATTTTGTTTTAGATAAAGAGTTTTGCACAGATGCAGACTATTCTTTCTCAAAGTAAGGACAGGGTAGTCGGAATGAGATTTGTTGTGACAGTCACTCTTTTGTATAACTAAAGTCTACTATTAAAGTATTTTGATGTAACCATTTAAAATGTGTTTGATATATTTTAATTATACTACTGCTCTTGTTTTCAAATCATAACAGTTGCTAATGTTATTTAAACCTAGAGCTGAGTAGTTTCAGTAAAGTCGTTAATGCATTGTTTTGTTCAATTTTGTAATGTGATAAAAACGGTTCTACCTTTTTTCATCATTTGGTATAAACCATAGCCAGAGGCTCGCTGACGAACATTTCCTTATGCCATTTTATATACAAATCTTATCAAATGACATTTGTGTCACATCTCTTGTATAAATTTTTGTTTCAGTTCAATACAGTTTAGCTATCTAAATGTTTAAGGCAAAAAAAGTGTTTTAATAACACATTGCGTGCTTTGAACCATCATTAACACGACATTTTTCTCCAATATGCACCATTCATAGTTCCCAGAGGGCTTACGGTTGCTGTTTTTACTTTCAACCAAGTATTTGGCAGTGTTATTTTGGAAATGTGTGTAAAGGGATAATCATTTAGGTCATGAAAGTCTTCCAAAAATTCTATAAGTTTAATATCTACTTATAAACATTCATCGCTTTGAGAAATTATGTCTGGGGGTCATAATTTATGACAGGAAGTTTATGACACGTCTGATAATTGCGTAGTCAAGAGGTTTAACGAAGTATGCCGATTGGTCGGATAATATCAGCATATAAGGATAAAGTCCGGTAGAGATGGTATGCAAACCAGTGTAGTGATCATTTAAAAGCGGTCGTTTATCATGATTACTGTTTGTTTGATTTATTTTGACATTAAAAATTGCCGCCAATGTCCAGGATATAAAATTATAGAAAATCTCCATACACTGACTTACGCTGTGTTAAACAATTGAAAAAAAAACATTAAAACGGATTATGGTAAGTTTTTGATTATTATTCTATTTTTATTACATGGTTTTATTTCAGATGATTAAGCCTACACCCAAAACAAATGAAAATGAATAATATTAATTATTTTAATCTTTGTGAATTGAATTGAATTTCTTTAGACCGCGCGATCAATGTTAGCCCACGAAAAGTGCACGCCCTTATTTCCAGTAAGGTTGTTACCTCAGCAGATTCCAGAGACCGCTATGATATACAAGGGAATCGGGAACCAGTCTCAAATTTGAATAGACTCCTTGGTTCTTTTACATGTCCAGTGTATAGTACTGATACATGCGAGTTTCTGGGTTTCTTGCCATTTCACCTCTAGGTAGATAGGAACCACTAAATGTGTCTCTATAAAATCTGAAGGTTAATACACAGAATCAAACCTGGAACCTCAAGGGTTACCCTCAGTGGTCTAACAAGCTGGGCTATCGTGCAACCATATAACGACTCAGATTACAAAGTATGCTACAGTGAAAAGATGGAAGGAAGAAGATAATCGTAGCAAGTAAGGCCTCAGGAATGTTATGTTTGACAGGTGTATTACAAAGTGATATATAGCCATTTCAGTTCAGATTTCACACAGGAAAGTTCAAACGGGAAAAGGCTCTTAGTCTGTTGGCTATCAAAACCTTTTTGCAAATGATAAGATGTACACCAGTATCTCATGGGAATTGCAAATTGTACTCCTATGCATATTTAATAATTGTTAAAAAATATGTTTTAAGACCTGTTTTGTGTAGGAGAGTAGCTTTACATGTATTGAGACTCTGTCTTACACACCAGAGCAGTGTTTTATTAACGTACTTACGCCTAAGATTTGCGTAAGTTTTAACTTACTTCTGATTTTTTATGTAAAGGCGTTTTACTAAAGATTTGGGTAAGTAAGTTTTTCGTTAGTTTTTACGTAAAGTTACAAAGTTACGCAAAACAATTTGTTGACTTAAAATTTACGTAAGTAAGACTGACATCGTCTTTGAATAATTTCAGTGTAGGTAAGCGAGATTTTTAGAGACGGATGTGATTGGTAATATATTTAAATGGTGAAAGCGGCTCTATAAAAGTAAAGTCTAAGTAAGGGAAGGATAATGTATCTTTACGGATTTATTAAAAATTAAATTTAGTAAAATTACATATATCAATATGGAAGTCGTCCTATCAGCTTAAAGACGAAAGTCTTTTAATTACTATCTTCTTCTCCAAATATGTACTGGTATCCCATACCGCCTTTAGTCGTGGTTGATATCGACTGAAAGTATTATAAATCAGTTATAAAGTGTTCTATATTATTTAAACTTTACGAGCTTATGTAGATTCATTTAGAATTTTATAAATGACATATCGAGGGTTGACCGCAAACTGCAGTAACTTATATGAAATAAAGAAGGAATAACAACATTCTTGCGGCCAATCCTCGATATAATATTAACTGAATCTCAGTAAATTTCATTTGATTTATACTGTATCAAGTAAATGAAGACTAATAGGAGAGTATCTCAAAATGATGATGACCTTTGTACGTTCATGAAATTGTATGATTTGCAATGTACATTAAAATAATTATCTGTTGCAGTTTTTATGGCAAATATTCAGATATCATTACTTCACTAAAACAGTACAATGATGACATAAATCGTTTATGTCTAATGTTTGCATGTGGCGTTTGTGCGTCATCGTTTTTACGCATGCATTTAGCATGTTACAGTGTAAAATCGTTAAACATCAAGGGGTTTTCATTACTTGATAGGCATGAAATAAATAAATAAAATAAAAATGAATAAATAGTTTTTTTTTTAAATTCGTGTTAAATATTTCATATAAAATGAGAAAAAATCCATATTTTCACTTGAGGACATAGCAGTTTTTTCACATCGCAAAACAAACAAAAAAAACCTTTAAATATCTTCTATGATGGATCATATGTGGTTTTCCTTTCTACTCTATAAATATATTTATTTAAAATCGAGGGAAACGCGTGTATGATGGATGGCCGTTGGCACACTATATATTTAAAAGTACGAATTGCTCAGCAACATTCCTGATAGTCCCTAGATGACTCTACGAAATACTAGTTTAGCCTTTTTTATAAATGTTTTGCTGTCATTAGATATTACCAAAATGCCTTTTAATTGACTGATTCTTTAAACCTTCTTTGATGAGTTACGCACTATTTTAACGTAAGTTAAAGAAAAACTTACGAACAATTTGTGAACTACACTTGCGATCTACGTAAGTTTAATCGTTAGCGTGAAGTTACGAAAAACACGTACGAAAAACTTACGCAATGTTACGCTGCCCAGGACTTGCTCCATCAGGCGTTAAACTTTTTACCATTGAAAAAGGCAATATCAGCTTCTAATTGTCTATAAAAAGATGTTATGATACATGTAAAGAAAAGGATTTTCAAAAAAATTGCATTAAAAGCCTTTCATATCACCGGGAAAAGTGCATACTGAAGGGAAATTTATTAAAAATAATAATATACATCCACCAAAAGTAAAATCCTTAAATATATGGTTCAAAACTTGTACTTCTTGATTTAAAATAAATTTCTTTTGCTAATACTTTATAGAAATAACATAGAGACTAATTCTAACTTTCTGTACTTAAAGGGGATGACGATGACATGTTCGTGGTCCGCACTAAGCAGTGTTATGCTACATTTTATACCTTTTTTCCCCGACATTGTATACCCTTTTTCCAGATGGAAGTGCTGTAAACATACGTTAACGAATGTGTGGCAGCAAATCAATTTCAATGATCGGGCAGTTGGACAAATATTAAAGCTGAATGCCTCCAGATATAATAACGAAAATATCTTTTTTAAAAACGAACTTAAAATTATTTTTTTAAAAAGTAGAAAGATGCCTTTAATAATTATATTGGAATAATGACTGATTTTGCAATATTTATCACCATATTTTTTATAAATGACTTACGCATTAGGGTTATTGTTTTGCATAATTTTAAACCTCTATTTAGTAATTTTAACTTGAAAGTATTTGCCGTTTGCGGTGTGTGTCTGTGTGTGTGTTTCTTTTCTCACTTTAAACAATTTTACTGTTAAATACATTTTCAAATATTTTTTTGCAAAAAATGGCATGTATCTGGAGGCATAAGGTTTTAAAACAAATGATCAAGAAAAGACAAATACAAACAATTAGAACAACAATAAAAAAAAAATGGGTCAGCCGGCACAGCTTAAAGTTTTCCTAGTCAAATGATAAATACATTGAACATCCTCTTCAAGTTTTGTTATAAAACTATGAGTAACTTGATGTGAAACTTGCATTTGATGCGAATAACTTTTACTAGAATAAGATCTAACGAGACAAGGTAGCGTAGAGTTCGATCCTTTCTGGCAAGATAGATGATAAAAACGATGATCGTTCTAAAGTGATGATATATGTCATGTGTTGTAGTTCGGATCGTTATATTCGTCCCAAGAATCGCAAACATATTATTTTTTTCTTGCATACTCTACTATGTTTGAAATTGGTTATCTCTATCAATTATTTTTTCATGGAAATCAGTGCCATTTCATCCGTTACTTTTTTCTTACATTAGCAAGGAAAACAACGGAACCACCAGTCTGATATGCAAAAACGCCATCTTCATGTACAGTTTCTTTCCCCGCCAATATAGGATGATCTGTATTCTGTAAATCATTTTGTGATTCTGATTCTTTAATTCCCTTTGTTTTTTGTATCCCTTTCAACGGGCTGAACGCATAACTGATTTGACAGTTTAAAACGTTGACATTGGTATAAAAGTGCATAATCACGTGGTCTGTTGTTTTGGTAATATTTTCACCCTTAAGTTGAAAGTTAAATCTTGATTTTTGTCTATGTTTCTACTATGTCTTCTACTATTCCATGGTCCAGCAGACATTGCTTTGCGTCCGTTATTACCAATATTATTAGTCCTTAGATTGTTAAAACGCCTGAGGATATAGATGGATGCAGTTATCGTTGAAACAGTGATAAATTAGGAAACTTAAAATTTACATGCTCAAAGAACCAACAAGAGCTATCACTGTGTACGTGATCTTAAACCAAATTTTAACTCGACCTATATTTTACTAGGTTTAACTTTTGTACCAATTATTACTGCTATAATGGCCTTGTTACAATAAACCGATAAACATAATCTTTGGTGAAAATAAGCGACAGAGATAACTTCGCGAAAACAAAGTGGTCGTTTGTTGCCAAATTTGAACTCAACTTTTATATTACAATGTACCATGTTATGTTTATAAATGTATAGACATTATAACAATAATAAAAGAGTTATCATTGGCAACCAGGAATAAGACAGAACAGAACAATAACTTTATGATAAATTAGTGGTCTAAAACAACAGCCCAAACTCATTTCTAACTCTTTTTCAATTTCGTTAACACTGACATTGACCATGAGGAGGTCAAAAGGCAATTCCCAATTCCACACGAAGTCTGTCTACATGTACCAACTTTAATCATAATATCTGATTCCTTACTCTTATAACCACACCGAAACCATTTTTCTATATTTAGTAACAGTGACCCTGGCATGAATTTCGAATTTCCAAGCGAGGACTTTACATTTGTTTGCTATGATACATATATCATAACAATATCTCATTCCTTACTCAAGTTACGTCCTAATTTAAGTGTTAGTGTCCTTCACCTTAATCCATGGGGATCCAAAAGTATTTCCAAGCGAGGTCTCTTCATAAGCTAGCCATATAATAATTGTGAACATATTATCTAATTTTGAATTCTAGTTATCGTCCAGAAGCCAGTTTTTTTCATACCAGTGACATTGACATCAAACCTCTAGTTAGTTCAAAAGCAACCTCAAGCTAGATTCTGTATAAGCTTGCTATAAACCTATATCAGTTCCTTGCAAAATTACAGGTATTAGTACTGGTAATAGTACTGGTGTGCTACTTGACTAGAATCCCTAAAGAAAGCCCCATAACGGTATAATTGAAAATGTTGCAGGTTA